CAAGACATTTGGTTGCTATGCAATGTGTATGCTGCTCTTTTTTCTTAATAGGAACACTAAGTTTCTAGCAGGGCATTAACCCATATTTTCCCCCTTCCAGTAACTGTTCAAGTTTACCCACATTTTACAAACCCAGGTCTGTTCTAGTTTTGTGTTGCCCACCATGACTGAACTGAGAAGAACCAGTTTGAAGCCCTGAATGATAATCGACTGACTATATATGAGTAGATAGTATTTCTGGGTTCCCCTAGTTTGCTCAATTGGTCTCTATGTCTATCTTTAGGCCAGGACCATATTGTCTAGATTACTGTAGATTTAGAGTAAATACTGTTTATCAAGCAGTTTAAATCTTCTTTCAAATTATTTTCTTTTATAAAATTGTTTTAGCTATTCTAGATCCTTTTGATTTTCAAATAAATTTCCAGTATCAGCTTGTCAATCTCTGCCCCAAAAGAAGGCTTGGCACTTAAATTCTTCCCAAATAACTGATATTTTTTGGTACTATTTAAAAATATTTCACTTTCCAATTGTTTGATGGTCTGTAGTATATAGAAATGCAATTAAATGTTTTTACTGACTTTTTACTCTGTGAACGTTGCTAATATACTTACTAGTGCTAGCAGCTTTTATTTGGGATTTTCTACATACACGATGAGGTCTACAAATAAAGATGGTTATACTTCTTCCATTCCAATCTATATTATTTATTACCTTGGCTAGGATCAACAGGACCTAGTTGAGTATAAGTGGTGAGTGAACATCCTTGCCTTGTTCCTGATCTTAGTGGGACAACATTCTTCTTTCACTATTAAGTAATGATGCTAGCTACAGGTATTTGTGGTAGACGGTCTATACCTGATTAAGAAAGTTCTCTTCAATGACTTGTTGGCTGAGTTTTTAATCATGAATTGGGATTGGATTTTGTTAAATAATTTGTTAAATTTACTAAGATGATCATACTGTCTTTCCTTTATTATCATTTTAATGTCTGCAGTATCTGTACTGATGTTCCCCATTTCATTCCTATGTTGGTCATTTATTTCTTCTCTTTTATTCTTATCCGTACATTAGAGATCAATTTTCCTGATCTTTAAAAAACAAAAAAACCCCAAACCAGCTTTTAGTGTCCTTGATTCTTCTGTTTGCTATTTCATTATTTTTCCTTATCCTAATTATTTACTTGGGAGCTCTGGTAGCATAGTGGCTAAGACACTTGCCTGCTAACCAGACGGCTGGCGGTTCAAACCCACCAGCCACTCCTCGGAAGGAAGGTTGGGCAATCCTACTTCCGTAGTGATACTGCCTTGGAAACCCAAGGAGGGGTCGCTATGAGTCGGGTTTGACTCGACGGCACATAACAACAACAACAACAATTATTTACTTTCTTTTACTTATTTTGGAATTAAAAAAAAAAAACAAACAAAAAAACAGCTTACTTTCTCAAGGTAAAAGCTTAATTACTGATTTTACATTCCCACTTCACCCCCCTACCGCCCAAATAAAGCATTTTAAGCTATAAACTTTGCCCTAAACACAGATTAAGGAGCCCTGGTGGCTCAGTGGTTAAGAGCTTGGCTGTTAACCAAAAGCTCAGTACTTCAATCCCACCAACCACTCTGCAGTAGAAAGATGTGGCAGTCTGCTTTCATAAAGATTTTCAGTCTTGGAACTCTATGAGGCTATTCTACTCTGTCCTGTTGTGTCACTATGAGTCAGAATCAACTTGATGGCAACTGGTTTTTCATTTTTAAATTTCATGTAAAATTTTTTTGTTAAGCCACAAGTAAGCTATATCTCAAAGCTTTTGAGATACTGTATTTTCATTATCCTACAGCTCAAAATATTTTCAAATTCCCTCTGCAATCTCTTGTTTTGTGCATGGGTTTATTTAGAAGTATACTGTTTAATTTCCAAATACACACGGATTTTAAAAAGATATCTTTCTGTTAATCATATCTAATTTAATTCCATTGTGGTCAGAGAACACACTGTCTGATTTCAATTCTTTTAAATTTACTGAGACCTGTTTTATGTCCTAGAACACTGTCTATTTTAGTGTACTTGGAAAAGATGAATAAAAATGAAAATCTGATAATTTCTATTTGATTCTAAACCACATCAATGCAAAATCATATTCATATTTTAAAAAGGCTTAGAAAACAAGTTTGGATTTAAAGACATTTTAATTCTCACTCAAATTTCCAGACTGAATAAGGGTTTTCTACTAGCTTTGATACGTTACAATTTTCTCAAAGTTTACCTGTTATGTCATGCATTAAGTACACTCATTCAGAATGAGTGCTTTTCTTGTGTCCAATATTATTTTAAGCAGAGAATTCAGCAAGGAACAAGATAGGTAATAAATAAGCAAACAAATAATTTTAACTTCAATTAGCAGGTATATTATAAAAACACATTCAGTGGTAAAGAAAAGAATGATTGGTGGAGATGGTAGAAGGCCATTAAAGTAATAATATATGAGCAGAGACCTTGTTCATAAATAGGATCTCAGGAAAAGGGTCTCCTATTAGAGGAAATAACAAGTAAAATGTTTTGAGGATGAAATAAAAAAGAATAGTAAAAAAAAAAAAAACGTATGAGGCTAGAGAGAAAGGAAGAGTGAGAGAGAGTAATACAAGAGATAAGAAACGTAGACAGAGATTTTAAAGACCATGAGAAGGATCTGAGCAAGGAACAACTACCCTAATATACACAGTTTTAGAAAAATGAAACCTACTACAGGAGATTTTGGTATGAAGGTGGCAGGTGAGCAAGCAGCAAGAACAGAAAGCAAGACTTGTTAATAACCTACTGCAATAGTTTAAAGGAAATACAATAGGGTGCAGGTAAGGAGTCTGGGGGGGAAGATATTTTGAAGGTGGAGCTCAAATTTTCTGATAGGCTAGGCCGGATGTAGGCTAAGAAATGAGAAACGTTAAGGGTGACTTCCAGATTTTTAACCTGAGCAAAAAGGTGGATACTAGTACCACCATCAGTAGAGATGGGCCAGACAAGGGGAGAAGCCAGACTACGTATGTACAGCAGACTACGTATGCACAGGAATGAGGGATTTGTTATGGTTTTGCTATGGTCAGGTGCTGCAGAGTTGGTTCAGACTCACAGTGACCCTAGGTAAAACAGAACAAAACACTGCCCAGTCAGTCCTAAGTCATCCTGACAATCATTGCTATGTTTGAGCCCCATTACAGCCACTGTGTCAATTTATCTTGTTGAGAGTCTTCCTCTTTTGAACTGACCTTTTACTTTACCATGCATGATGTCCTCTGTTATTGCTGTCAGGTGCTACTGCATCATCTCTGACTCATAGCGACCCTATGGATGAAACACTGCCCAGTGTTGTGCCAGTCTCATGATCCTTGCTATACTTGAGCCCGTTCGTTGCAGCCACTGTGTCTATCCATCTCATTGAGGGCCTTCCCCTTCTTCACTGACCCTCCACTTTATCTAAAATGAACTCCCTCTCCAGGGAATAGTTCCTTCTGACAACATGACCAAAGTAGGTGAGATGAAGTCTGGCCATTCTTGCTTCCAAGGAGCATTCTGACTGCACTTCTTCCAAGATAGATTTGTTAGTCCTTTTAGTAGACCATGGTACTCTTAGCCTTGTTCTCCAACACCACAACTCAAAAGAATCAACTCTTCTTCAGTCTTCCTTACTCATTGTCCAGCTCTCACATGCATAAGAGGTGAGTGAAAATACCATGGCCTGGGTTAGGCACACCTTAAATCTTCAAGGAGACTCTTCAGCAATATATCATCCGATGTCTTGACTGCTGCTTTCATTGGTGTTGATTGTAGAACCAAGTAATATGAAATCCTTGACAACTTCAACCTTTTCCCCATCTACCCTGAAGCTGTTTATTGGACCAGTTGTGACGATTTTTGTTTTCTTTAGATGTGTCCTTTAGACACAGTAAATATAAGTTATGGTTTGAACTCACCAGCTGCTACATGGGAGATGAGGTAGTCTGCTTCTGTAAAGGTTTACTGCCTTGGAAACCCTATGGGGCATTTCTAGTCTGTCCTATAGGATTGCTATGAGTCAGAATCAACTATGGCAATAGGCTTGGTTTGGTTTCATTAGAAATCCAAGTGGTGATACGGAATTTATTGTTAATTATATGACTCTTGAAGTCTGTATAGAGAGCTCTCAGGGCTAGAAATGTAAATTCAAGTGCCATTTGTTGTTGTTATTTGCCGTCAAGTCGGCCCCGACTCATAGCGACCCCTTCTTGGGTTTCCGAGGCAGTATTACTACGGAAGCAGGATTGCCCAACCTTCCTTCCGAGGAGTGGCTGGTGGGTTTGAACCGCCAGCCTTCTGGTTAGCAGTGAAGTGCCTTAGGCACTATGCTACCAGAGCTCCTCAAGTGCCATTAGCATATAGATAAGATCTCTCAGGGTATAAGTAAATTAGTGGTAACATAGCCCTTTGCTCCTCAATACCCAAATGTCAGAAAAAAGACACTATAGGGGACCCAGGAGAAGAACATAAAAAGACAAAACAAGGTGGTGTCTTTCTTTCTTATTTCAAGAATTAAAAAAAAAAAAAATAGAAGTATTTCAAGAAGGAATGGAAGATGGGGTGGGGGAAAAAAAAAGGATGATCAACTCTATCACCTGCTGCTGAGATTAAGTAAGATGAAGACATGAAACTGTATTTTCCTAGAGAGAAGTCACTGATGAGAAGCTGTTCTATGGTAATAAGAAAGAAGTTAGGGTATACGGACAATGACATGGGAAAAACTGATACAGTTATCTTCTAGGTGCTTTCTTATATTCTTAGTGAAATTAGGAGCATGCTTTAATTATCAGCTGAGAATAAAGATGGAGAAGATGAAAAGATGTGAAGGAGTTGGAAGATAAAAAATCCACTATCATATCTCATAAATTATAAATAAAAAACATAGTCTTTCTATTAAAACAAAAGAAATCAAACAAAACATACAGACCATAAACCAGCATTTAATTAACATTTACCTGCTGTGCAAGCAACTTTGGAGGTGGTGGCAGATGAGAAGATGGTCCCCGTTCCTATTAGAAAGAAGAAAAAGACAGTTGTAAAATAATCACATAACAAAAAAAAGATACTTACTGGAAATATTTTTGAATATATTAATTTTCTCAATGAAACCACAAGATTGTAAAAAGAACCTATCAATCATTTTCTCTTTTTTCTTGATAAAGCATGTAACTGCAACATAACTTTTTACTTGTTATAGAATCACTCTGCCATTTCAGTAAAGCTGGAGTTTCAAATGTACTTTGCAAACAACAGAACTTTCATTGTATCAATTCTGGAGATCTAACCTAGGAAATCTGGCTGAGAGGTATGCCTCACAAAATTACTAAATTTTATTTACCAAGCAAAATTCTTCATCTGATTTTTTTTTCCTAATGGTAAACTAAAGATGTGAGATTTATACAAAGAAGAGAGGTATCTAAAACATACTAGAGCCAGACATAATATGTGGAATACTCACTTGCTAATAAACAAACCCATGTCACACACAAAAAATCAGCACAAGATATTTTCTATATATTCCCTTATCCTCCCCATGAAGGAATTATCACCTTCTTTATGATAGTAGGAGCCCTGGTGGCATAGTCATTAAAGTGCTTGGGTGTAAACCAAAAGGTCATTGGCTCAACCCACTAGACACTCTGTAGGAGAAAGATATGCCAGTCTGCTTTCATAAAGACTACAGCCTTGGAAACCCACTGCAGCAGTTCTACTCTGTCCTATAGGGTTGCTATGACTTGAAATTGACTGCAACAGGTTTTTTTTTTTTTTTTTTTAAAGTTATTTCAGAAAGTAAAAAAAGGAGTGGTTATAAGAAAAAAGGTAAAACTTAGTTTCTACTTGATTTTTAGCTAATATATTGATAATTCCTATTAATATGCAATAAAAATTATGGCTCAGATCCAGTTATTCAAGAAAAATATATAGTTCCCCTTTTTTAAGTCCCCTTTCAACTCTGATTACAAAATTAATCCATCCGTTGTATTTTCAATGACAAGGATCTCCATGAGTCCAACAAACCTGATTAAATGGAGGTCCTTTCCCATAGGGACTTTTTGCTACTGATGGCTGGACAGGTATTTGAGAAGATGATTTAGTGCTGTTAACGTCATCTGCTTCTTTTCGGTTCTCAGTGTTTTCAGAGGATTTTGAACCTTGATCCTCACTGAAGAATCAAAATTCAGGGAAAATAAAAAAGAAAAATGGACTATATCATAAGTAAATGCGTTTTTCTCTATGTAAAAAATAAAAAATGTATATATAATATATATATTATATATATATATATTATATATATATTTCCATGTGGCTTCAGGGGATAATATGTATATAAAGGAATGAGATGCTTTTGTGGTCTAGTTCAACTAATTCATTCACTCAACATATACTATGTATCTGTAATGTGTCAGGGACTGGGCTTGGCCAGCTTATCATCACAAGGCATAAAATGTAATATAGTGGTTATCAAATCTGGGCAGTCATACTCAATACACACTTGGCAAAGGAATACAATCCTATTATTTTGTATCCCTCCACCCAAGAAATCTCATCTGAATGCAACTCAGTGACATCAGACATAACCATTTAATTGTATTCTAATTTACAGGAAAAATGTAAACTAGTTTTTTTTAAAAAAAATAGCAAATCACAGGCATTTCACAACTGATCATGAACAGCACAGCAGTGCAATGCCATGGCTGAGAAACTATACCAATATGTATACACAAACTCTTGTGTATTTTAAGAGCCCAACTTTTATGATATGTTCCCCCAGACGCCTCACTCTGATGTCCTTATAGTCTAAAAGAAAAGATATATAAGGGTCCCACTTTCCTAGGCCATAGTGTGGCTGGATAAAGTTTAAAAAATCAGGAACTTGAAGCAGCAATAATAACTCAGATTTACTCTCCCATTTTTGTAAATATGGATCAGCTCAAGCAAGTAATTAAGTTTAAAATGGTCCCCCAACACTGACTTTCAAAGCATCTCTCATTAGATGCCACACACATAAGCATTTTTCTTTCTTTATAAGTAAAAGATATCACAACAATTTACCTGCTGTTTTCTTTAGGACTACTACTTCCTTGTTCATCATCATCACTAAAATTCAACTGTTCCGTATAATCCACTTCCATCTGAGCACCTATTAAATTAAGGAAAACTCAGACTGACTACATAAGACCATTTAACAACAACTAAAAGTGCTTAACTAATTGTTTCCTTACCTGCCCAACCTTCATCAGCTTCAGCATCTAAGTTATCAAATTTATCAAGCTCCTTGAGTTCTGATGCACTAAGGATAGAGGGACGTTCAGGCTCAGAAGCCCATGAAGGAGGTGGACCTCTTCCTCGAAGACCTCTAATGAATGGGAGGTTATAGGAGGAAAGGACATAAAGTTTTAATAACATAATATTATGAGAATATGAAAAGATTGGAACTTAGTTAATTTTAATTCAACATTTGTACCAAGATAATTATAATACTAATAGATAAATGTGGGTAACACTCAACCCACTGCCACTGAGTCAATTCACTACCATAGGACAGAGTAGAACTCCCCATAGGGTTTCCAGGGCTGTAAATCTTTAAAGAAGTAGACTGTTTCATCTTCCTCATGGAGGAGCTGATGGGTTCTAACTGCTGACCTTTTGGTTAGTAGTCGAATGCCTTAACCACTGTGCCAACAGAGCTCCTTCATACAACTCTTATGTAAGTACTTATAGCAGATTTTTAAAAAAATTCTCAAAAACCTAGGATAAAACTTAAAGATATGCTAAATCATAATATGGTCAAGACTAATCTCAAAATATGTAACTCGGAGAAAAACCATTGCAAGTCATTAACTCATGGAAAGAACAATGGAGAAACAAGTGTCATCAATTTCAGAATTTTATGTCAATTAAAATTTTAGAGGAATGAAGTATTTCTGTTCTATGTGTTAGCCAATCATTTGTTAATAGCAAAATTGTACTTTGAAAACAGAAAATTGTATCAATCACTACAATCCACTTAACACCAGAAAATCTTAAGGAGCACAGATATGCATTATAGACTTCAATCATTTAATAGTCTTACTTGTTTGTTTCAGATAAAGAAGGTGGGAACCTCATTGGACCATGTACAGGAGGAGGATATGCCATTCTTGGATACTGCTGAAACATCTGAATGAAGGAAACAAAAATATTTGGATAAACTCAGCCAAAAAAAAAAAGATCAACTTGCATCAGATTGAAATTATAATTCATAGAAAGAATTATTAAAATAAATGGTCTATTAACAATCAATCTTATCTGCTCACATAGCTCATCATTTACACCTCAATTAATAAGTCATTTACAAGACTAATGCCTCCATCAAGTTTTTTACTAATAGAGATAATAACTAAGACATATTACATGAACTTCTATTTGTCCATTAATAAAACTGCAAAACAAAATGACTGTGTATTGCCATGAAAAAGTAAATTAAAAAGAAAACACACACACACACACACACATACACACACACAACCAGAATCAAGTTAGAATACTCAGAGGTAAATAATGTGGAACTTTACCCTAAAACAAGAGTGGGCTAATTGGGGGTGGATTTTTTGATAACAGGGAACTTACTTCAGATAAAAGGGGAGTTTATAGACTAAAGTATAGGGGACAGGTCAGAAGTTATTTGAAGGTTTTCTATGGGCAAGGCCTAGGTAGAGTCTGAGTCAAGTTACTGCACAGATGATAAGTTTAAACTAAGGCCCAAAGAGGTCAAGATGATGTTCTCTATGGTGACTTGACTGAGAAACTAGGCTTGGGTAAGACATAAAATAGATTATGAAGACAAGTAATAACATCAAGGAAAGGCAGAAGCATCAAGGAATGCTTGATCATTTACCATTTGCAGGCTAAATTATGTAAATAATACAAAAATATATTACTTTAAATATATAATTTGTATCTGAAATAAAAGGTTGATTTGCTAAAACAACAATAACAAAAAACAAAAAACCCCAAAATTGTTCTAGATGTTCAACCTTATACTTGAAGGCTACGTTTATATGATCATGCTTTCTAAAGAAGAAATTTCTCTGCACGATTAAAGTTAATTAAGTTAAACAGCAGCCAAAACTCAACTGGGGAAGCTTTCTATTTGGGTAATACCTTAGAAAATTTCTGGTTCTATCACTTCTGTACTGAAATTAGTAAATATACTATTGGAGGCAAAGTTGTGTTAGATCCTTCTTTTGCTGATCATTCAGACAGAGATGGATTTCTATGGTTCTATAAAGGCTTACAATTTAGGAATTTGTTACCAAGTTGATTGTAGAAATAATCATTGTTCTCAATATATAGTGTGGTTTTAAAATTTTGTTGTTAATTAACTGAACACTATTTGAATGTAATAATTCAGGAAAACACCTGTCCTCCTCTTTACCTTTCCTGAGACACCCCATACCTTTATACCAAGAAGTTCAGGAGTCATGGAAGGACAATTTGAAAATTAGCAGGAGACAAATATTTGGGCATAAATCATTTTCAAGGTGAGATTAGCAAAAAATTGATTTTTTCACACTCACAAACTTCTTTTTTTAGAAAATACTTATGTTTCATTTATTTCCTTTCTCTATCCAAGATGTTTTGAAAATAACACAAAGAAGGAATAGAAAATATGATGATACTAGAAATGGAATACTTAGAGAGTTAAATCACAAATAAAATATATGACCCAGAGTTTTGTTGGAGAACTCTGATGGTGCAGTAGCTAAAGGGTTTGGCTGCTAACTGAAAGGTCGGTAGTTTGAATCCTGCAAGTGTTCTGCTCTGCAGGCTGAAGATGTGGCAATCTGCTTCCTTACAGATTAAAAGCCATAGCCCTCGAGTTAGTTGACAACTAACTCAAAGCAACCCTAGAGGACAAGGCAGAACTGCCCCATAGGGTTCCCAAGGCTGCAATCTTTACAGACAGACTGCCAGCCATATCTTTCACTTGTGGTGCAAATCACCAACCTTTTGTTTTGCAGTTGAGCGCTTTAATCACTGTACCATCATGGCTCTCCTTAAAGATTATAGCCTTGAAAACCCTATGAGGTAATTGTATTCTGCCCTATACAGTTGCTAGAAGTTGGAATTTAGTCAGTGACAACGGATTTGGGTTTAGAATCCTTGGTCTATGAGATCAGGTCTTCCAAAATACATAAATTTGTTTAACAGAACATGCAACTTTCCATATAACTTCATGGTAGGTTGAGAGCAAACAAATGAATAAAGGTACGAATCTAACTACTAATTCACATAGAAAATACAGGAGTCTGAAGAACATGTTAAATGGAAACTGCAAAGATGGAATCAGTAAAATCCTATCTATGAGGAACTACAGGGGACAATAAATAAATTTTAACAAGTAAACTTCAAATAAATAAGAGATGCACAGAGGTACTCATAGATAATAAGATTCTTACGAAGAATATCAACCAATCTCTAGGAATGTCTGGATCCTAATTACAACATAATCAGAGAAATTGAATACTGATTTGGTAGTTGAGAACTGTAAAGAATTTTCTTTCTGATAATGGCATTATAGAGATTTTCTTTGTTTTGGTGTTACTGTCTTTTAAAAATACATCATAAAATATTTATGGGTGAAATGATATCTCTGGGTGTTGCTTTAGTAATTCGAAGTGACAGTGAATAGTTGATCCAAGACTGCCCACAAACTGGTAACTGTTGAAGCTGGATGACAGACATGGAAAGAGGTAGTTCATTTTACTATTCTCTGTATATGTTTGAAATTTCCCATAATGGAAAGTTAAAACAAAAAAATTAAAGGTACACTAATAAAAGTTTTATGAGGGCAGTGGTAAAAGTCTCGCCTTCCATGTCGGAGATCAGGATTCAATTTCTGGCCAATGCACTACCCATCTGTTAGTGGCGGCTTGCATATTGCTACAACACTGAACAGGTTTCAATAAAGCTTTTAGATTAAGACGGAGTAGATGGAAAGGATGATTCGATGGCAGCTAACAACAATAAAAACTTTTATTATTAAAGCTGGTATTTTTATACTTTTTTTTGTATAAGGACAATGCCTTTGGAAGTCTGATGAAGCCTATGGACCTCATCTCAGAAAAATATTTTTAAATGCATAGTCTAAAATACATAGTATTGCAAAGGAAAACAATTATGCTAAATTAGTCTAAAATACATATTATTGTAAAGGAAAACAATTATGCTAAATTTATTACTACAAAATTTTTTTTTAAACATTGTGGTATGATAATGTACTATGTGCTTCTTTACCACGTCATTAAGTAACAAATAGACCTACCTGGCATCTATCAACTAACAGTTTTGAAATAATGTTGAACATAAACAATATTTTGCAAAATCTACAATTCAGTGTAATATGAAATTAATTATGATCCCTATTAATAATAAAGTCATAGGTACTGATACTCTGTGACTTGTTTCATGCAATCATCATCAAAGAAAATGCTAACTTTTAGTTGGATGGCAATAAAAGTAAAGATGTTAAATCTTCCTCATTCCAATGACCTCCTTCCTTGGGTCCCAGCTTATGAACATGTAACATGTAGTGCCTCTTATTTAACTAGCTAGCTTCTTTAACAATACTCACATAAGAAGGCATCATAGCTCTATATTGGGAAGCAAGGGCAGGTTGCTGTCCATTCAGTTTGGCCTGTGGAGGACCACAAGCTATTCTCTTTTCCACCACTTTCAGGATATCATTTTGCTCTGATGTTCCAGCCGTGCTGTCATCCTGGCCAGGGGGCTTTTCATCTTGTTCAGATGGAGAAGGTGATCCAGCAGACTTACCACCATCTCTCCAACAAGCAACATCTGATACAGAGAGGATAAAATATATGACATTGGAATGGAGCAAAATCAAACCAGACACATTTGAAGAAAATTTAAATAAGCTGACACAGTGAAGGAACAGTGAAAGTTTAATCAGGGCCTTTTGCTGTCTAATGCTTTAAAAATGTTTAGGTAGACAAGAGCAGTGGCCTCCAAAGCAGAGAACATGTAGCTCAGAGGAGGGTACACCACAAGCAAATACTGGGGTGGGAGAAGAAAGTTATTAGAACTTCTCTATTAAGCTTTATCAATATTTGATACACAACATAAATTCACTATTCTCACATGGTCCATATGTCAAATAGTCATGTTTCAGGTAAAATATGAGACTGCCTGACTGAAGTCAGAATGGGAATTCTATAACTGTGATGATCTCCTTTGTTTGCTTCGTGGCTTTGAACCAGTTTGAACTGTTTCAGTCATGGCCAATGTGGAGAAACTGGAAATGATCCAAATTTATAAAATCTGAGTGTACTGGAACTATAACAAGAATGGGAAAAATTATAGGTGGAAGTCCTGGAATGGGAGACTAAGAAGAGGCATAGTGAGGGCCTTCCAGAAGCCTGATGTGGGAGGCTTGATTACTGCCAGAACTGTGGAAAACAACATACATTCAAAGCAGCATGGTCAGCACCATCTTTGAGCCAGGCACCACCGTTTCCAACTTATCTGGTTAGGAGATTTGATTGCTATGGAGTGCACATGCTGCCCTTGTTTTCTAAGACAGAGAGTGAGATTAAATTTCTAGCAAAGTGTTGTCCATGATTTTTCCCATTCTGGTTATTGTTCTGGAACACCCACATTATACAAATTCAGGTCCATTCACTTAGTCTGAGGAATACATATTGTGAGAAGACTATTGAGAGGCCCAAATACTGAGGAACTCCCGTCAACAGCCATGTGAGTCCTCCAGTTCCAGTCAAGTCAGCCTTCGCTGACATATCAGCTGCAACCCTGTGAGAAAATCCTTGAACCAGAATCCCTAGTTAACCCACTGTCAGATTTTTGACCCTCAGAAACCATGTGAGATCACAGGTTCAGTTCACTTTTGCTTTAAGCTGCCAAGTTTATTATATAGCAATACATTAACTCTTGGTACTTCTGGTGTTCTTAAAAAAAAAAGTGAGTCCATTAATTATTAATGTAATTAAATGCAACTGAATAAGCAAATAGTAGAGCTGACATTATCTACTCCTAATATGATCTTATCAACTATATAATAACCATTAAAAATTTAAAAAACAAATTTACTCAGATCTGACAAATCAACTAAAAGAAATATGAAATGTATCAGATTATTAGACTAGTAGTAGTTGGTCCTTTCAAAACAATCAAGTCACACATATAACAGTTAACAGGCAGGAAGTTACGTTATCTTAAGGTAAAATTCAAATATAATCTCATTCTATAATTGTATTAGATAGAAAGAATTCTTACTTGGGGGGCGTAAACTAGGTCCAGGTCCATAGTTGTCATCATTTGCTTCTTTTTCTTTTTTTTCCTGATCCCCAGCTGCTTGTAGGCTGGGAAATTCTTGCTGAAAATGACTATTTACCTGGATTCCTAAAGATGTTTAAAATATAATTAAATGTAACTTTAATACAGAAGAAAATTCAAATAACCCTCTCAGGATAGAGCTCTCTGTCTTTTTCTGATAAATTATTCCACTGTACAGTACGATACCTGTTCATATCCATTAAATGTTTTAATGTATACAGAACCCTCCAAAAAGTTAATGAATAGCCACGAGGAGATAAAAAGCTAAGAAAAGAAATCTGTCAGATACTGTTCCGGTGAACTCATTTAAAATAATCAGGCAAGTGAGGAAAGTCTCACTTCTGTTTTTCTTTTATCACGACTCTTTATATTTTCAGTAAGAGTCAAATTTCTTTACTTATTAACTACAAGAATCAGTTAAAATCATTTTGCTGACATAGAATTTATGAGTAAACAATGCATATATCAAATTGAGGTTAAAACATACTTATGAATCTTTCATTTAATTTGCCTGAGGTATACAATGTACCTCAGTATTCACCTACGCATCCATCTACCTACCTTCTATAGTTCTAACTATAAATCCAAAGAGATTAAGGATCCAGAGTAATCTTTCCATAGTATGTTTTATAATGGTTCTAGTTTTCTACATGAGAAAATTAGATTCTGTCAGGGATCCATCATTTCTTGGGAGGAGGGGAGTATTATATCTACTCTGCTTTAAGATTATTTTCTAGCTCTCCTCTATCCAGGAAATCATAGGCAGCATGTTTGAAACAGGAGAGGAAGGGGCACAGATGGAGATGAGTATCATTTATAAGAATATATGCCATATCTGGGTATTTCTATGTCTCAAAGAGCTGAGGGTGTAAGGCTTTGCCTGGATGTGTAGGGGTAAAGATAAAATAGTGTGGGTTATCAGGACAAAAACTTTAGACTTTTTTTCAAACTCCTACCATTGCCTCATACATGGGCCTTGACACTGAAATGTAATTAGCCCAAGACATTAAAAAGATACCTCTATGGGCCCAAGTATGTGCTCTGACAATGTTCTTAGACCCTGCCAAACACAGGGCAGGCTCACCCTTTATCTCTTGCATGGCTGCTCAGTAACAATCAAGCCTGTGAGTTGCCCCGGCTAATGTCCACTTACCATCTCCTTGCCCACCTTGCTTGTTACTGGCCCATGATTTGGGAGCAGGTGCTACTTCTGGGGGAGCTGCAACCCCAGGTTTTGGCTGTGCTGGTGGTACTTCTGGTGTTCTTAAAAAAAAAAGTGAGTCCATTATTTCAGGTATTACATGTTAAAATAAACATCACACTTAAATTATGCAGAAATTATTTTGTATATATATTTACTCATAAATGCATCCCACAAATATTTTCCCTCTGTGACCATTCTTTAAATGAATTACAGCTATTTTAGTCTCCTTCCATCCTATCCTTTCAATGATAACCACCAAAGAGAAGACAGTTTTTTTTTTTTTTCCACTTTGTTAAGAAAACAAAGACAAACTGTTGAACATAGCTACAGTAAAATTGTTCTGAGCAAGAAAACTTTCATAATTAAAAATAACAGCATATGCATACATACAGTCTGGACTGGTAGAGTTAGCCAGGAGCTAACAAGGTTAAGCAAGCTCTCCATTTGACAGTCAACCGCTTCACCATGTACTTAATACTATTATTCAAAGAGGTTAACAGCAACCTGCCTTATCCATTCCATGATAAAAGGTGTTTCAAAAGGGGCTATAGTTTTATTTAATTCTTGCAATGAGAAAATAAGAAGGAATGAAGAAACTTAAGAAATGCAATATATTTCTAATACATTCAGATTTATAACTAACTTGTTATTATAGAATAATCTACAACAAGCAAAGAACAGAAAGTCCTCAATAAGAAGCTTTTACATAAATTTATTATATAAAGCTTTCCAAAAAGGAGTATAGAAATGTGATAACAAATACAGGTAAAAAAAACATCAAGAATGAAATGACTTGTATTTTTCAGAAGAGTCAATAGTTAGCTTGGTCATTCAATTAACTAAGGGCCTGGCACAATGCTTAATGTAACCCACTGCCACTGAGTTGATTCCAACTCATAGCAGCAGTATAGAGGTATTAAAGTAAGTATTACTTTAATGACTGAATGATGATTAAAAGGAACACTATTAATTCTGTCCCAGTCTTCTTGCTAACAATTTATTCACCAAGTAAACACTATGTGAAGACCTACTATGCATCAGGCATAGTTTCAAAACTGGAGAATGCCTGATTTGGTATGGGTGTGGGAGGGGTATGAGAGTGACACAGGCTGTAATAAGAAAATGGTGAATAAGCAATTCTGTCAATTGCTATACCTTGACAAATGGAATTATGGACTAATCCACTAATAGAGAAAATCAATCAAATGCTGAGTATATAACCAAAGACTTTAAAGGGCATGGGACAGTTAATATACTCAACATCTAACACATAGCAGGTATTCAATTCATAGTTCCCTAAGAAAAGGGAATGATTTTATTCTTTAATATACTTTGACTCACTTTTCTTCTTCATGCTGTTCTTGTTTTGATGCCCATCCTGTGCCATCTTTAGGTACAATATTCACATTAGGATCATTGCCTTTGTTTTCTGCTTTGAGACTTGGGAGATTAGCAGGTGGGGGCATACGCCGTGAAATACCAACTTTCCCAAGACTCTGTAATCCATGTCGAGCTGCAACTGAAGATCAATAACATCAACTTTCTAAGAACATCTATTACATTACCCATTTTATTCTTCAGATAATATAGAAAATAGGAATAATGACAGTCCAGAACTACTATTTTAAGATAAATTTAAACTAAGCTACACATTTGTAACATGCCCAATATATAAACATTAAAATGAATAATCAAGAACTGAATACATGTTTTAAAAATTCTAACAAGTTAGCCCAATACACTATAAAAAATAAAACACTGATAATGCTGGTTTTGAAAGTTTTCAGGTTATCTATTTCAAAGTCAAATTCAGGTTGTTAAAGAATAAATATGGTGAATTTATGTTCGTAATGAATACTACCAATATATCAAACATAATCTAGTTTTCACTTTTATTGTACACACTGGATTCAAGATAACAAACACAGGACTTTATTCCCTAACTAAAAGTGGTAGCAAATACTCCCAAATATGCAGCTATATGCCTACCAGCCTCACTGACTGCATTTTACTCTGGAATGATACACTTTTGGGTATGTACTATCTGACAGAGAACAAGAAAAAAATAAATTCCAATAAGCAGCCGCTCTGATGTACTATTTATAGTAAAAAAACAAACCATGAAATACAAAAAAACACATAATGCCCCTTGATTTTACTCACCTGTGGTTTTCTGAGTTTCTAATGATTTACCCTTGTAAGTATTAAATAAACTGAGTGTTGCATACTTTTTCCCATCCTTTGCTTTTGTGCTCTGGCCTGACTTCTCCGACATTTCGGTGGAAACTCATCGAGTCCAAAACCTCCTGCCTCACCCCTTAAAACCAGTCTTTAAGATGCACATAAGAAAGAAAAATAAGAAGTAAAAAAATTTTTTCAGTCAATTCAAATGTTCATAAAGAAATCTTCAATAACTCATATCAATGATAATTTAATAAATCTGTTGAATACTGTCATAATCAAACAACCAATGCATGAGAGAATTAATCATAATAAACTACCATGTATTAGCAAACATATTAATTATTTATATCATATTAGTTACATATATATATATAAAAGTTATTTATATCTATGATATATAACTATATCACAGAGAATGAAGATAATCTATGCTAAGATGAATACCTTAAATATACCAAGTCTTTGGAAACTGCCTTTCTTCTCAATAAATAAATATTATTGAATTTAATAGAAGCCCTGCTGATACAGTGGTTAAATGCTCAGCTGTTAACTGAAAGGTCAGTGGTTAGAACCCACCAGCTGCTCCGGAGGAAAAAGACGTGGCAGTCTGCTTCTGTAAAGGTTTACAGCTTTGGAAATCCTATGGGGCAGTTCTACTCTGTCCTATACAAGGCTGCTGTGAGTTAGAATCAACTTGGTGACAATGGGTTTAATTTTTGGTATTATCACTATTTCAGACAAATAGTCTTATGATATAGCACCTCAATATTACGAGGAAACTTATGTTCAGAGGTAAATAGGATTCAATTTCAAATCAAAGCCTCTGGTTCAGTCCACTACACTGTGCTGCTTCCTCTCACTGTGTGGATAACCACTAAGCCTTCAGCTTGTTGTTGTTATGTGCCGTCAAGTCAGACCTGACTCACAGCAACCCCTCCTAGGGTTTCCGAGGCGGTATCACTATGGAAGTAGATTGCCCAACCTTCCTTCCGAGGAGTGGCCAGTGGGTTTGAACCACCAGCCTTCTGGTTAGCAGTCACTATGCAAAGCCTCCAAGAAGACACTTAAAAAAATGAAACAAAACAAAACAAAAAAACATCTTTACTTGAGATAACTGTGAAAATGACTCACCTGCAACCTAAAGAACTACTAACATACAGACAGTTTACTATTATGCTTAAGAATGTAAGAAATTATGCCCTAACTGTGCTAGTAATGTGATAATGTGAAAGGAGATGCACTGTCAGGATCTATTATGTTTGTATATTTTCATCAATAACTTGGTTAAAGAAATAGGAAGAATATTCATCTCTTGTAACAAAAAAGGGACAGTAATATCAAGGTTGGGAAAGTAGAGGGTCAATGAAAAAGGGGAAGACCCTCAACAAGATGGACTGACACAGTGGCTGCAACAATGGGCTCAAGCAATGATTGAGGATAGTGCACAAGACCAGGCAGTGTTTTGTTCTGCTGTACACATGGGGTTGCTGTAAGTTGAAACAGACTCTACAGCAGCTAAAAACAACAAATACACACTAGATGCCAAAATTAACATCCAGGGACATCTCTCACCAGGTGACAAAGATGAACTAATCTATCAGTCAACTTATTCTTTCACCCACTATGATGGCTATTAACACCTAAGTCTCCTCAAATCTTGGACCCCTCAACACTACCATTACTTATGGAAAAGTGGATGAGCCTCGCATGTCCATATCACAGAAAGTAAGAACATGAGAAAGGAGCTCCCTAAAATTTCTAGGGGCAATCCTGCAAATCTAACTGCATCCACATACATCACATCCTTTCCTTCCTCCACCTATCATTATAGTGATTCTTGGAATTATCTGAAAACTTGTTAGAAATGCACATTCTCAGGCACCATTCCAGAACTACTGAATTTAACTCTGGTAATAGGACCCAGCACTTAACAAGTCCTCCAGGTCCTTCTGAGACATACAAAAGTTTAAGACCCACTGAGGTAGTGTAGTGCCTAAGGCATTTGACTGCTCATCAGAAGGCTGGAGGTTCAAACCCACCAGCCGCTTCTTAGAAGGAAGACTGGCTGATTTACTTCCATAGAGATACTGCCTCAGAAACCCAAGGAGGGGTCGCTAAGAGTTGGAACCGACTCACTCCATGGCAATGAGTTAGGTTTTTTTTTTTTTTAAATCCACTTTATTGAAATATAATTTATGTACAGTGAAATACACAAAACTAAAGTGACAGGGGTCAATGCATTGTTTTTGCAGTGTTTCCTCCCCTCCCTTCTCACCCCTGGCAACCAACAAAGAAAGTTTCCCTCCATATATAAATCTTTCTTTTACCCTCCACAACAATGAATTAATACTGTATTTGTCCTGTGATTGACTTATTTCACTCAGCATAATGTTCTCCAAGTTCATCCATATTATGTGGTGTTTTGCAAACTCTCCATTATTCTTAGGAGCTCTGGTAGCATAGCTCTAAGGCACTTGTTGCTAACCAGAAGGTTGGCAGTTCAAACCCACCAGCCACTCCTCGGAAGTAAGGTTGGGCAATGTACTTCCGTAGTGATACTGCCTCAGAAATCCAAGGAGGGGTTGTTATGAGTCAGGTCTGACTCGATGGCACATAACAACAACAACGTTATTCTTAAGTGCTGCATAGCATTCCATAGTATGTACATAGTTTGGCAATCCACTGTTCCGTGATGGGCACGTAGGTTGTTTCCATCTGCTTGATATTGTAAATACTGCTGCAGTGAACATGAATGTGCATATTATCTGTTCCTATCCTGACTATCACCTTTCTAGGATATATACCTAGTATTGGGATTGCTGGGCCAAATGGTTATCTCCAATTCCAGCTTTCTAAGGAATCACCATATTGCTTTCCACAGTGGTTCTGTCACTTTATAGTCCCACCAACAGTGTATGAGAGGCCCAATCTCTCCACATCCTCACCAGCATTTGTTATTTTCTGTCTCGTTGAACCTTGCCATCAGTGCTGGGGTGAGATGGTATCTTATTGTTGTTTTGATTTGCATCTCTCTGATGGCCAATGATTGTGAGCATCTTTTCATGTATTAGCTGACCGCTTGAATATCCTCTTTGGTGAAGTGTCTATTCATGTCTTCTGCCCATTTTTCAATTGGATTGTTAATTCCTTTGGTGTTGAGGCACTGGAGTTTTCTACAAATCTCAGAGATAAGTTCCTTGCTAGATATGTAATTATCAGCAACTATGAATTTGTTGCTGTCATTTTTGTTATGTGCTTTTTCGTGGTGTTGAATTCTTTGTTCCATATAATTTTCTATGTTGAGCTTATTTTGTTTATGAATCGTGTTATCACTTCTTTCATTGCTATTGTTTCATTATTTGCTAAATATTTGTGCTAGTGTTCTTTTTTAGTTTGATGTGAAGGTTTATCATTTTTCTTTCAGGTTACCCTGTGATTTATAGTTTTCTTCCCAAGTTTAGAACAGTCCGTTCCATCTTGTAGTTGTCTTAACTTCACTACCATCTATAAGTTCTGTGACAACAGTTTTTTCCCTCTTTTTGGTTTGTAGTTATCCTCATTTGTCAATTGATGTCTCTGGCTCCCTGTTTACAATCTTGCAGGCTTATTTACATTGGATACTTACATCGCTGGATTGGTTTCTGGATTATATCATGATGTATGTTAATGGTCAGTTGTTGCTGGTTATTGTTGTTTCTCTGTCCAAAGGGCTCCCTTTAGCATCTCTTGTAAGCTTGGTCTGGTTTTAACAAAGTCCTTAATTTCTGCTTATCTGGAAATGTCCTAATTTCACCATCATATATTTTGAGAGATACAGAAGAGGACATGGAACAAGGGATATCACAGCTGCTGTCAGATGGATCTCGGCTCAAAGCAAAGAATACCAGAAAGATGTTTACTTGTGTTTTATTGACTATGTCTTAGGCATTTGATTATGTAGATCATAAAAAATTGTGGATGACATTGAGAAGAATGGGAATTCCAAAACACTTGATTGTGCTCATGAGGAACCTGTCATTCGAACAGAACAAATGGACAGTGCATGGTTTAAAATCAAGAAGGGAGTGTGTCAGGGCTGTATCCTTTCCCCATACTTATTCAACCTGTATGCTGAGCAAATAATCTGAGAAGCTGGACTATATGAAGAATGTGGCATCAAGATTGGAGGAAAAATCATTAACAATCTCCAATATGCTGACGACACAACTCTGCTTGCTGAAAGCGAGGATGACTCGAGGCACTTCTTGATGAAGACTGAAGAATACAGTCTGCAGTATGGATTACATCTAAATATAAAGAAAACAAAAATCCTCACAACTGGACCTATAAGCAGCATCATGATAAACAGAAAAAGGATCAAAGTTGCCAAGTACCTCACATTGCTGGATTCTACAATTGATGCCAATGAAAGCAGCACTCAGGACATTAGACAATGTGTAACACTGGACAAACTGGCTACAAGTGCTGAGGAGCAAGGATGTCTCCTTGAGGACTAAGGTGCGCCTGACACAAGCCATGATATTTTCAATCACCTCGTATGCATGTGAGAGCTGGACAATGAATAAGAAAGACCGAAGAAGAACTGATGCTTTTGAGTTGTGATGCTTACGAAGAATAAAGTACCATGGACTGCTAAAAGATCTAACAGATCTATCCTGGAGGAAGTGCAGCCAAAATGCTCTTTGGAAGCAAGAATGGCCAGACTTCATCTCACCTACTTTGCTCATGTTGTCGGAAGGGACCATTCCCTGGACAAGGATATCATGCTTGGTAAGGTGGAGGGTTGACAAAAGAGGGGAAGCCTCTCAATGAGATGGACTGACCCAGTGGCTGTGACGATGGGCTCAAGTATAGCAAGGATCATGGTACTGGTGCAGAACTGGGCGGTGTTTTGTTCTGCTGTGCACAGGGTGGCTATGAGTCGGATACGACTCGATGGCACCTAACAAAAACAACAACAAATTTGAGGGGCAATTTTGCTGGGTACATAAATCTTGGTTGGAAAGGTTTCTCTTTTAGGGTTTTATATATATCATCCCATTATCTTCTCACCTGCATAGTTTCTGCCAAGAAATGTGAGCTCAGTCTTAT